CATCAGTTTCTATATCCAAGTGTTCCAAATTCTCCACTCCATGTGTTATTTGTCCTATGGCAAGGCAGCCCAAACTTCCTTTTCCCTCTATTTCTATTTCTACCAAAAAAGTATTTGAATTAATTCATGTGGGTGTCTGGGGACCATACAATAAGTCTACATATGATGGATTTAAGTATTTCCTTACAATTGTTGATGATTTCAGTAGAGGCACATGGACCTACCTACTAACCAACAAATCCAATACATTTACTATTCGAAAAAGCTTTCTAACTATGGTAGAAAGGCAGTTTAATAGCAAGGTGAAAACTATAAGGTCAGACAATGCTTTTGAATTGGGAAGTGGGAACATTCAATCAGAATTTTTTCAGTCACAAGATATTGTTCATCAAACCACTTGTGTGTACATACCACAATAAAATGGAGTTGTGGAGAGAAAGCGCGAGTATATTTTAGAGACATCTAGAGCCTTGTTATACCAATCACACCTACCTATATCATACTGGGGTGTCTGCCTTCTTACAGCAACCTATTTGATCAACAGATTTCCTTCAAGTGTCTTAAAGCTTAAGACTCATTATGAAGTTCGTTTTACAAGCAAGCCAAATTACTCTAACCTTAGATGCTTTGGGTGTTTATGTTTTGCTTCTACTCTCTCAAATCATAGAACTAAGTTTGAACCAAGGGCTACTCCTTGTGTTTTCTTAGGTTATCCTATTGGAAAGAAGGGTTACAAAGTGTTGAACCTTAATAATTTAAAGCCTTTCATTTCTAAAGATGTTGTATTTCATGAAGAATTCTTTCCATTTGCTTCTATTAAGTCTAATTCTTCTTTTGGTATTTCTTTACCCACTACTAAAGCTACTCTAAGTAACCAGACTCCTGAAACTCTACCTTTTGCTAGCAGACCTCACACTCAAGCTTCCCAAGAGCCTACTGAATCATCAATTGATTTTTGTTCTTCACCCATTTCTTCAATTCATCCTAGCACACATATTCCCTATATCTCTTCTTCTAGGTTATCTCCAGATTCTCCAGTATCATCTAGTCATTCACATGCATCTGCACCAGTTTTTCCTTCTTTATATTCTGATTTTATGATGGATGTTCTTGTTAGGAAGTCTACCAGACCACACACAACTCCATCTGATCTCAAGGATTATATCTGTAATGCACTCCAACTCACAGATGTTAGCAACTCTTACTTTCTCACACCTGTTACACCTACTTGTATATATTTCAGTGGATTGTCTTATACTAATTAACATATGCTAAACACATTGTCCAATATACAAGAACCTATCAACTATTTACAGGCAACACATCAACCAGGGTGGCAAGAAGCAATGGACAAATAGATTGAGGCACTTGAACTTAATAAGACTTGGGAAGTGGTTGAATTACCATATGGGAGGAAAGTTTTACCATGAAAATGAGTGTATAAGGTTAAACAACATTCAGATGGTAGTGTGGAAAGACTAAAGGCAAGATCGGTCATTAGAGGAGACATAGAGAAAGAGGGGATAGACTTCAATAAAACTTTTTCACCTGTGGTGAAGATGACCACAATCAGATGCATACTAGCCACTGCAGTAAAGAAAGGATGGGGTCTATACCAGCTCGATGTGAATAACGCTTTCCTACATGGAGATCTAAATGAAGAAGTGTACATGAAATTCCCACTTGGGGTTTTACCTCCTTCACCTACTCATGCATGCAAGTTAAAGAAATCAATTTTTGAGCTACGACAAGCATCTTGACAGTGGTATGCTAAACTTACAACTGCTTTAAATTTTAAGGGATTCACTCACTCATTAAACGACTATTTCTTGTTCTTTAAAAAGTCAGATTCTTACTTTTCTATAGTGGCTATCTATGTGGATGATATACTCTTGACAAGAAATGATAATATAGAATTACATGCGTTGAAAGAATTTCTCAATCAAGAATTCAAAATTAAAGATCTCGAGGACTTTTTTTTTTTTCTAGGGATGGAAGTTATCCGAGAAACAAATGGACTCATCCTTTCTCAGCGTAAATTCACTTTAGACCTTCTCCAAGAATTTGACTCCGTCCATTTGTCACATGTTTCTTCTCCACTCAATTTATCTACTCGTTTGTCTACTCACATAGGGGAACCAGTAAAGGATCCCACCTTGTATCGCCATCTCCTTGGCAAACTTAACTACCTCACACCTGGCCAGACTTATCCTTCAATGTCCAGCACCTTAGCCAGTACATGCAGGACCCACGACAGCCACACCTAGATGCAGCATTCCGCGTGCTTCGCTATCTTCTCATAGACCCTCGGCTTGGGCTTTTTATGTCTTCTTTCTCCTCATTCAAGCTCCTAGCTTTTTGTGACTCCGATTGGGCTACCTACCCGGACTCGAGGAAGTCGGTGAGTGATTTTTACATTTACCTTGGTACCTCTCTGATCTCTTGGAAATTCAAGAAGCAAATTTCCATCTCACTCAGCTCGGCCGAGGCAGAATACAGATCTATGCGGCGAGTGGTTGCAGAGCTTACATGGTTGGTACATCTTTTTGAGGATTTGTCCATTCCTATTTCTCTTCCACTCACTCTTAACCCCGATAGCCAAACAGCAATTCACATAGCAAAAAATCCTGTTTTTCACGAACGGACAAAGCATGTTGAAATCGTCTGTCATTTTGTGCACGAACAACACCTAGCTGGGCTAATTTCGTTATTATTTGTTCGATCTTCTGCCCAGTTGGCAGATCTCTTCACAAAACCACTCACAGGACCTCTTCATCGTGATCATTTGGGCAAGTTGGGTGTGTTTTCTACACCCTCCAACTTGGGGGGGGGGAAGGGGAGGTGTTGGAGCCGATGAAGATGAAAATATCTGATTAACAGATCTGTATAGCACGCACATGAGGCCACTCGGTTTTGGACCTGATTTTGGGTCATCAATGCATTTTGCATTGGGCCTGCTTGACCCTAGTCCACTTCTGGGTCTGCCCTTTCCAGCACTATTATTCACATAGTGCATAGTACATGTGAATATGTATTTTAATTATTTGCCCTATCTATGTATTTATTTTATGTACATTTTTATACTAGTTAATAGGATATTGCCACTTGGCAATATAGTATGTAGCCCTAGATTCATTCCTATTTATATATAATCCAAAGCATGTTCAGCAAATACATAGAGATTTATTAAAAATACAAAGGAAATCTTCAAATCATTTTTCTCATTCTTTCACATTTGTGGAGAAGTAAGTAAAGAAATTCAAATAAATCTAGCGGATGATTAAAAGTAGACAAACTACGAAGGCTTGGAATCTTTTTTTTTTTTTTTTTTTTTTAA